TAATTTAAATATTACTAAAAATTTTACTTTCCCAAAAATTTGAGTCGCACCTCCCCCCTAGAAGTAAGTCTAAATACGCCCCTGGCTTGTACCATGCATCCAGCCGGAAAATCAAGTACCTAACTTATACAAAAATTAATACAACTACTGCAAATAGAGAATAAAAAATAAACATATTTATCGCACAATGTTTGAAATAAAATTGAAATTGTAAAAAGAAACGAAATATTATGTAAAATTTATAAAGATAAGTTAAATATATTTTAATATTTTAAGATATTCAAGATTTTAACCAACTTCTATATAATATAATGATTATTTATTCTTCATCATTAATGGCGAAAACCATGTCAATAATATTAGTATATTATTTAGGGTATTTATTATAATAGGTACATAACCGTTTGCAATACACAATTCGATCATATCTTAACGTATGTACACCTTGTTGAAAATTCACTTTGTACTTTTGCTAATATAATTTGGTCTTATATTACATTATTGTTCATTTTTGTTGCTTAACTGTAACATAAAATTTGTTCACGACAAAAAACATTCGAAATCATTTGAATATTCAGTTTTGATACTACGCAGCATCAGAAACTACCCGAAAATTATTATTGTTTTTACGATAAAATTACGCGTTCGTAGTTTATGGCCGACGGGTATCTGCAAACACTCCAGGTGTCATACACTATTATTGTTAACTCAAATGTACGACATTTCCAATCTACCAAACGTTAAAATTTATCTGTATTGCGTATAGCTATTAACATGTATTCCACGTCAAACAAACGACTGAATAACAAATATTTTACTATAATAGGTGCACCGCATTTATCGGCGTTATAATTGTTTAATTGACATGTTATGCCGGATGTGAATATGAACATTTCCGAAATTTCATCACGATAAGAAAAAAAAAGAATAACAATGACGATAATGTTATAATATCGAAATGCGTCCGCCGGAATTTGAATTTCAAAGGATACATTGACGCTATCGTTCAAGTTTTATCATATATGATTTAAGTGTAACCCTTCATATGGGCAAAAAAAAATACTTCTTTTTTGAGATATTAGACCGTTAGAGATGTTTTATCGTTTTATAAATATCGCTAGTAAAATACGATATGTTTAACGTCTACAGCTATTTTCGATATTTTTATTTATATATCTATTGGGGCGCACGTAAACTCCGCCACAAGTACCTTTTTTAACTGTAAACTCCACCAGAAAAAAAAACAGGTAAATTGGGTTCATGTTAACTCCACCACTGAAAAAAATCTAGTAGTAGCATAAAATGAATGTGATATATTATTAAAAAAAAATTATGATATAATATATCGCTTACATTAAATATTTAAACCACAGTAAAAAAAATCAAAATATATCATATCAAAATAATCGTTATATCTAATAATCAAAAAAATATATAGTGTCATGTATGTAAACTAAAATTATGTGATACAATTTGTAAATATTCTAAGTCTTGTATTACTCTATTAGTGCACCTATTTATAGCATCCTGTAATACTGTCGTTTTTTTTTTATATTTCGAATTATTTAGCTTATTTACTTGAGATACCTATGCCATTTAGTTTTATGTAAGTATGGGTTTGAAATTCAGTAAGAACTTTACTAAAAATATGAACATTCAATGACGATGACTTTTATAAAATAAATTTCTTAGATGAATATGAAAGGATTCACAGTCAAAACACAAAAAAACTGGACGATTTTACATATACCCATAACAGGTAAGAAAAAAAAAACTGGCGAAATTTACATTAGATCTTTTATTACCCTTTTATCTTAACCATTAAACCTAACCTAACCTAACCTTACATTAAAAAAAGTTTATTCCTTGTAAACTACAAATTGTGTTAGAATTATATGAAATCCAACACCAAAAAGAACATTAAAAAATATATTCCTTACAACCTAAAAAATTAGTTAAATAAAACTGAAACTATGTGTGCGTGGTGCGTCGATCGTCATAAGTGGTTTACACACTAGGCGATTAATATCAATTCACAGAATTGAAACGAATTTAATTTTGCGCGATTAATGTAATACGCATTATTTTGTAGGTACGCCTAATAATATATTGTTATTACGATCAACAACACCACACGGCACACACTAAAGTAAAAATATCGATAAAATGTTGAAATAAAAGTTAAAATATTCAACATTCTATTGAATTGCAAGGGGTGGGAATGCCCCCTCCCCTCCGGGCGCCCATGGGTCCGCGTAACCCTTTTGCCGTACTCAGTTTTGTGTTTTCAATAGTAATAAGGATACCCACACACGTAGAGACATGGACCACAAAAATATAACTATAATGCTTTTGTCCCTGATTACTAGTCAAGACCTCCTTAAACCTAGGAAATACTGAACTAAAGAATACGTAAAAATAAAAATAAATAATTTAATTTATTTTTAAAACAAATACTAAACTGATCTGAGTATACCATATTTATAGGATATTAAGCAATAAATTTGAATTTGAGTTTTGTGATGAAGTTATACTATGCATTTATAATCTAAAATATTAATAACTAACTTTTATCTTAATTATAAAATTATCATTATTTTTAGTTCTAATTTAAAGTTACCAATAAATCTAAAATACAATATATGTATTTTGTTAGTTACAAAAAATAATTGTAACGGTACCTAATGTATATACCAATAAAAACCTTTTAGCCTCTACTAGAAAAGGTACTAGAAGAACTTTAAAGCTATATCTATACAACAAAAAAAATAGCATATTATTTTATTGATTTCCTTTGAGAGTTCACAAAAAAAAAACCTTAAAATGTCCTTGTAAAAAGAAATCGATAGTAAAAATTAGATTTCATTAAATATTCTATGAGAAAAATAGGCATACAGACGGTACACAAATACCATACATATTATCAAATATTTAAACGATATTCGACGTCCTACAGTTACGAAACATAGACCATTATAATACACACGGGTTGTACTCAACAGCTGTGACCGCTACAATTTAAACTAAAGTTTAATATTTTACCAAAAAGTATCTGTCCGATTATTAGATTATATACTTGAATACATTTTTTCAGAGTAGCAATATGAAAATTAAAATAAAACTCTACAATGAGTTCTACTTTTTTCATGGTCTCGACGTATCTATACTGCAATCGATTTGGACTCACTAAACCCATGATGAACTCCTATTGACACAGCTATTTAATGCTTTTTTAACCGATTATATGTAATAACTAGAGCGCGGATTTCTATGCAATCGTATATTTTTTTCCTTTCAATATTTTTGAATTTTTGTCAGTTGTCTCCACGAATCATCATAATTTGAAGCTAATGGTGAATTTTTTTTTTGCATATTTCTGCATATTTAGAGGTTATTGCATATTTTTGCATATTTTGGCAAAATTCAAAATTTATTGCATATTGAAGTGAAAATTTAAAAAAAAAATGTATAAAATAATATTTTATCTAGTAGAAAATTTAAAAATAAATTTCATAGTCACTAAATAATAATTTATATATATATATATATAGTTATAAAATAAATAATCGATTACGACGTAAACTTAATCGCTCTTGCTGTCAGTCGATTATCGACATACCACTTGCTTCAAATATGCCCCAATAACTTCGAATGACATCGAGGGTTCGTTTTCAGTCTTTAAAAATATGTTAACCGATAAACGACACAGCTTCACAGAAGACAAATTTGAAATGCATATGATTATTTATTTTAATAATAAATAAAATTTTAAAAATAAATTAAGTTCAGAAAATTCCCTAAATTTTTAAGTTATTACTAATAACTTACACATTATTTGAAATTTTAGTACATTATAAATTTACATTTCAAAAAAAAAAAAAAAGTAAAGTAATAAATTAATTAACAGGTACCTATGTAACTTTTATATTTAAAAATTTAATGAAAATGTACAATGATAATTTTTATGAACCACCATTATTTCAACAATTAAGTAAATATAAAATAAGGAATTTTTTATTTCTTTTTTTTTTTTTACACTAATGATGTATTTTAATAAAACACTACATTTGCCACCCTAGACAGCAGCCTACTTTGCCTTTTGAAAAATCTGCCTGTGTTTAAAAGTTATATATAACAAAAATCCATTGAAAGCATTATTAAAAATATTTTTTCTTGTTGTCAGCTCAATCTTTTTCCATTAAGATTTTGATTATAAGTTATCATCTTGCATAATACAATTCAATTATGCTCCAACAAAAACAATCCTCAATCAAAGAAAATAAATAGTGTTTTATACAAGAACTATCCACACCAGACATTATATTTAAATAGTTACACTGTTCATATAATTTAAAAAAACAAACTAAAAGTTAAAAGAAATTTAGTTCCAATGGAGAAAAATTCTTCCATTAAGCTCATATAAATCATTTTTATACTGATTAAAAACTATTACATTTCAAAGATTCAATTCCTTCAGAAGCATGCCCTCATAATCTGATAATCTCATAATCATCTCAAAACAAAATATCTTCATAATTTAACATTTATTAATTAGTCACTCATTGATTCTGATGAATAAGACTTAATTTGAATAAATTATTTGAATGATTATTTTCCTTATAATCATACAAGAATTTGTCTCTTTTAGTTAGATCTGAAAACTATGAATTAACTATGACATTTTTCTAATACCATCAAGATATATAACATTTTATATAACTCTTTCTATTCTACAGCTATAATGTACATAGGAAGAAAATATATAAAATATATAAAAATACTACTACATTTTAAATAAACCTACTTTTTGTAGTGAATTTAACTTTTTTCACATATGTAAGTATTATCTTTAAAACTTAAATATTTTTAAACAGAAATATTTTCAATTTTGTATGAAACTGCAATTTTTTCAGTTTATAATTATGCAATACAATTAATGGTATTTTATCGACCCAAATTAAAAATAATCTAGGTATATTATTAAAAATCAGTTTATAAAATTTAAAATATGATTTGTGAAATAATAAGTTTTCATTGTTTGTAATAAACAAATAAAAATACATCATACAATAAAAAATCTCACAATTAACAGTATAATGGTAACATAATTTATAAATATATAATATATGAATTTAAATAAAAATTCCACGCAAAATATAAATAAAATATTTTAAACAAAACCACAACCAAATGTAATCATAAAATTCAAATAGTCCTATAAATTAGCTTTGGTACCACGAATGAGTCGACAACGATGTTTCCAAGCAAACTAAAAAAAAAATTTTGAATTTTTAATATATATATATATGTAATGAATAATGTTAATATCATACTGTAAAATCAACATCTGTTATCCCCTTTTTAGCCATTACATCAATTATTTCATTTTTTATATTATCTTGAGTAGTACCCGTAACATCAATATAATTACAGTTAGATGATGCATAATGAACAGAAATAGCTTTACGAAAACCCTAAAAAAAAAATAAATATATTTCAAATATTATAAATAATATATATAAATAGTATTTTAATAAAACAAACACAAGGTGAAAAATAACATTTACTTATTTAACTATTTAATATATTAAAAATTTTTAATCAAAATTATTTTTTTTTTTTTTTTAATCTGCCTTTGTTCGCATATTACAGTAACAAATTAATTATTATAGAACTATAATATAAAATTTGTTTAATCTAAGCTGAAAAATTAGGAAATTCATATTAGCAATTAATACTAAACATTTATATTATTCATATATTTATAAATTATAATTCTAACCATTTTGTAACAGTTATGCTGTATTTTTTTTTAACAACCAAACAAAATGAAAACATTTAAATATTAGAAAACAATGATTGTAATTTCTTGGAACTTCTTTGTTTCGCTTAGAAACTAATTAATATACTTACTTTTGTTTTATTTACCCCCGATCCGTGAAATAATAAAGGATGAAAAAATACTGTATCACCTTTATCCATTTCCAAGAATACTTTTTCATAATCATTGTAGTTGTTAATTTTCATCTCATGATACATTTTATTTATTTCACCCTTAAAAAAAAAAAACAAAACAAATATATTTGAACATTTTTAATAAAAACAAAAATTACATTCAATAAATAGTAATTTTAATTATTATAAAAGTATAACTTGAGTACAACTCATATGAAATAAGATAAGATGTAAATATGTTTGAGTTAAGAAATAATTATAATGCAAATGTTATAGAATCATTTAAGTGTTTTTCAGTTAATAAATATATTGATTAACAGAATTTAAATTAAAAATAATTAACTGTATTTTAATAATAAAATTTGGTATTAAGTTACTAACTCACTTCTTTAGGGTCTGGATAAGTATGGGGATACAAATCACTTATGTGTGTTCCTGGTACAACATATAAACACCCATTATCTATTGATATAGGAACACAAGCAGTCCAAGACGCTACAATTAAATTGGCAGGACGAAATGGAAAATAATGAAGATCCTAAAAATAAAAACTGTATAATTATGTAAACATAATGATTAGATTTTTCTTATTAAAAAATGTATGGAAAACATTTTTTACTTGATGAAGTGGATGACGTGAACTATTAGTACCAATATCAGGTTGTTTATTAATAAACATTGAATGCATCGCCATAACATTTGGTCCTATAAAACTTTCAATGTAATCCAACATCTACGTGAATTCAAAACACCTTTATATTATTATTGGTTAGTAATTTTAAATATTATATGAATTTTACTTTTGGATATCTAGCATATTCATAAAATTCTTCATCCCATAGAATATCTTGGGCTTTACCAAACAAATATTCACCTTGATAACCAGCTTTCATGCGAGACACATCTTTCATCAAAGTTATTTGATTTTGTGGGACTTTTCCATGACATAAGTCTATGAATCGATTACTAAAATAAAATACATCAACAACAAATCTTAGTTACTTGTAACTAATTTCATATAAATTAAAAATAATGGAAATATGATTACCAGCATCTGTCTAACAAATAATCTGGAACAAGTTTAGGAACTACTAAATATCCATTAGTTTCATAAAAATCTTGCTGTTTTCTTGTCAATGCTAAATCTGATATAGAATATTTATAATTAGAAGTATTTTTAGCATATTCAGATTCCTGGAAATTAAAAAAATAATAATAAATAGGTATACATAAACTTGAAATATTTAATAAAAATATTAGTTAAAATAAAAAAATTATAAAGTACCTAGTTAGAAAATTATTTTTTCTTATTATTAGGTACTATAATTTAACAAATTTAATTAATACATCCAATTTGAAAATATAAACAATAAAAAGCTATTTATACAATTAGAGTAATTATAAAATCTTATAAAATAAGAGTTGTTGATCTTTTTCCTTAAGGAGATTTCATAATAATTTTATAACTGTAATTTTATCAATTTTTTTATTTATTTGGGTGAAAAACTAATTGATAGAAATTTAAAAAATGTTTAATATTTTAAAAATATACACAAAAATCATGACTTAAAAATAAAAAAATTAAAATAGATGAACATATTTTGTTTCATTAGCAACATTATTAAAATTATTTTTCTCGACTAATGTTATCAGACTAGATGTATAAACATTCAAGTTCAATTGCTAACCAATTATTTATTGTGGAGAACAAATGTGTACTTATGAATGTAACATATTTATCTGAATAAACATGTTTTTTATATATAATATATAAATAATATAATAAAAAAAAAGATAATAATTTTATTGGATTTTACAACAAAACATCAATATATTGAAAACTCATACTTTTATTATCAATGAAACAATGCAATTCTTTGTTTCAAGACCTATAGAGTCTATAGGTCTTGAATAAATAAGAATAAAGTATAGACTATTATGTAAATTATTTATTATTTAATTCAAAACTGTAACAATACTAAGCAATATAACAAAATACCTTGAATTACAGATTTTTTTTTATATAACTGTTTATTAAATTTTAATCGTTTCAACAATATACCTCAAAAGTTCCCAACCAAGGTGCCAAGAAATGATTTAAAATATACCTAATGCTATCCACACTATTTACACAATTTCAAAATAAAAAGATTGTATGAATGATATACATTTTTTTTTAAATAATTTAAAGTAATAACACAATAATAGAACAACAATTTATCAATTTACTTATTTAGCATATTTAATTAATATTAAAAGTATTTAATTAGTATATAAAATATGGTAATCTGTGTATACACTTTTCATACATAACTAAAAAAAACTAAAATTATATAATATAAATACTCTAAACACTATACACTTAAGGCACTTCCAGATTTTTAAAAAATAAATATTTTTAAGTATACATAGGTATGTATACATACTAGGGTGTTCCTTAATTTTCAAATTTAAATATTTTTTTGGCTCACCCCCTAAAAACCTGTATATGCATATAAAAATGAATTACGAAAAATGTTGAGGCAATCAAACAAGATTAACCCGTGCCGAATTGAACTTAAAGTTTGAATTAATTCAATTTTTGAATATTTATGAGAATTTTTTATATTTTTTGAAATATTTCGCAAACCAATGAGTAAATTGAAATTATTTATATAATATGTTTTAAATAAAAAAAATTATCTATAAATTATGTATTAACAAGTTTTTAATATCTTCTACTTTTCATGAGATATATTGACTTAAATGCATAGAAATATCGTATTCTCAAAATTTTACTGTTAAAACTAAAAATATTATAAATAATGATAATTATTTATTAGATATGTTATATAATCTAATATAAGAGTTTACATATTGTTGTGGCTGACAATTTTATAAATAACTTTATCGTATCGTATGTTTATCGTTTAATAGATAAGTTTATCTTAATATTCAACAAAAGTCTAATGACTGATTTAGTACGAATCGAATAGTCGTGTTATGCGTATAGTGCGTTTAGTTTTGTGTTCGTGAACATTTAACTTATTTATTAAGTATCGTTAAAATAATTATTATTTATATTATTCAATTAGATTTGTACTTCGAACATGTCTTTAAAACTTCGAAAAGACGATCATATATTTTTAATTGGATCTAAAGAAACTCAAATTCTAGGTTCAAAATTGCCATTTTGCAAATTGCAAATTGCATCAACTTCGGTATATAATTCTATGCAGTTGAATGAAAACGTGGAGAATGAGACTGATAGTTCAGAAAATGATGAAATATCTAACACGAAAACAAGTGTTGCACAGGAACAAACACAATTATCACCATTAAAAAAAAAAAGGCGAGGAAAAATAAATTGTATTACACAAAAATTATGTGGAGCTTTGGATTGGTGCAAATTAAGTGTTCGTGACTCAGTTTACGTTTTACAAGCAATATTAGAGGCATTAGGATTCGACAACGATGATTATATAATTCAACTTCTATACATAGAGCACGAGAAATGTAACGTCGTGAACGTGCTAGAATGATAAAATCGCGCTTTCAAGAATCTCGCCCAATACGACCGTTGAATGACTTCCAATTATTGTAACTAGTAAAAATATTGAACAAATCATCGGAGTTCCAATACTTCAAAGGTCAACCGGTGAAGAACAAGCGACCGCTGTATATAATGCTTTAGATGAATGGGGTTTATTGGATGTTGTTTATGTTGTGATACTACTTCATTCAATACAGGCCATTTGAATGGAGCATGTATTCTTATTGAACAAAAATTAGACAAAGATTAACTCATTTCCCTTGCAGACACCACATATACGAGTTAGTGTTAAGAAGTGTTTTTGAAACTAAAATACCTCAAGTAACTATGAGCCCATCTATTCCATTATTCAAAAATTTCCAAAATAAATGGATTGATATTGATTCTAGTAATTTTATAAGTAGATTAGAAGATCAATATTGTAGTAGTGCCATAGAAAATATCAGAGAAGATACTCTTAATTTTGTACGAAGTCTATTAGAAATTAAAAATTCTCGCAATGATTACAATGAGTTTTTAGAATTGGTACTAATTTTTATTGGTGGAAATTTTGAAAAAAAAATTAAAATTCATCCACCGGGTGCAATTCATCAAGCTTGATAGATGGCTCAAGAAATCTATTGCTTGAAAATATTTATATTTAGGCATCAGTATGATATTTCTGCCACTGAGAAAAAAGCAATTGGGGAAGTTTGTATTTTCATCGTTATCTTTTATGTCAAAGCGTGGTTTACTTGTTCATTGCCAATAAAAGCTCCAAACCTAGATTTACAATTTATTAAATCTTTAAAATCTTATGAAATAGTTGATAGTCAAATATCTACAGCCGCTATCAAAAAATTGTGTAATCACTTATGGTATTTTACCGAAGAAGCTGCTGCTCTATCGTTTTTCGACGAATCGATACCTTTAGAAACAAAACATTTAATGGTAAAAGCTCTAAAGAAAAAATCATCAATTAACTCTGCTTAAAGACTTACACTTCAACCATATCAGATTGATGAAAAATTTAATGGTGAGTACATTATTTAAAATAATGACATAAATAGAAACTAAATAATAATACAAACTAATACAATTTATTTTTGAAATTATTTTTATATTTTACAGAAATAAATATTGATCAATTTATTTCAGAAAATAGCTTGAAACTATTCACCAAATTTGGTATCGATACTAGTTTTTTACAATACGATCCAAAATCGTGGGATAACTATATCAGTTTTGTTAATGACAAAGAATTAATAAAATCTCTAAAAATAGTCAATAATACAACTGAAAAGGGTGTGAAATTAATGGCAAACTTTAATGAAGCGTTAACAGTCAACGAAGAGCAAAAACAATATATACTAAACTGTGTTCAAGAACACAGAAAAATGTATCCAAATTGTAAAAAGGAAACATTAAAAAAATTATATTAATTTAAATAATTAATTATATACTTCAATAAATAAAATTATTTCATAGTACATTAATTCTGATGAATATTTACCATTAATAATAATATGTTTATAAAGTTTTAACAGAAAAATTTTGAGAATACGGTATTTCTATAAATTTAAGTCAATATATCTCATGAACAGTAGATATTAAAAACTTGCTAAGACATAATTTATAGACAATCTTTCTTTATTTAAAACATTTTATATAAATGATTTAGTTTTACTTAATGATTAACGAAATATTTTAAAAAATATATAAAAAATTCTCATAAATATTTAAAAATTGAATTAATTCAAACTTTAGGTACAATTCGGTACGGGTTAACCTTGTTTGATTGCCTCAACATTTTTGGTAATTAATTTATATATGCATACACACATTTTTAAGGGGTAAGCCCAAAAAAGTTTTACTATTTTTTTTTCATCATCTATAGCTAAGGAACACCCTAATACATACATTGCATATATACAAAAATACCTATTTAAATACTTATTAATTAAAAATAAATACACTATTCAGATTTGTCGAAGGAAATAGAATATCAATAATCAATATTATTTATAATAAAATATAAAGATGGAACATACCTATCAATGATTAAAAAAACATCAATTTATAGAACACAGATTTTAAGTTACCTGATGATATTAAAACATTAAATTAACTGTTTTAGAGAGCAAAAATATGTTCCAGAAATTAAATAAACTAATCGTAACAATTTTTATTTAAAAAAAATACTAAAATAAAAAAGAAATCTTAAAATCCGATTATTTCAAAACGCTGAACCCAATTCCTATTATAAATAATAGATTTTAAAAATTATTTTAATCTAATTTTCTATCAATTAATCTTTGTTTTTAGTCAAAGTAAGTTTACTTCTGATTTTTAACAGAAATAGACATTGTACAACAGATATTTCTCAATCGATGCTGTTGATAAATAAATGAAAGATTATTAAAAATACCAAATAATACAAACTTAGAATCACTGCGTTACATGTACACAAGTGACTTACCATTGTTCAGAAAGCAGTACAGAAATATCGAAAATGATTGATAAAGCGTTCGAGAACTCGCAGACGTGGAAATGGAACTACTCATGAGTGGCCAAGCGACTGGGGAAAAAATGATATATGCATTATTGTTCCTGTTAACCAAAACACCGTTTTGTTTTTTTTTTAGCATTAATAACATACAATTAATCGTAATTAGTTGTTATCACTATAACGAAATAGACTTGTCCTTCAACCACGAACTATGATTATAATCAAAGTTCGTGCCTTCAACGGAACGACAACGAAGACCGTTATCCAAACCACAGAATAACATTATCTCTATACAGTGGCGGCGCCAGGATTATTTACTAGGTAGAGCCAACGGGAGGCCAACAATTATAAAGTAGAGCCACCAAAAATGAGATTTTTACAAAAGATAAATACCATTATTTAATATTTTCTGCTTATGAAAAATGACTATATTATTATGTCTAAGGTCAGGTCAGTGGTAGGGCCAGTTATTTTCAGGTAGGGCTATGGCCCTACCTGACGCCGCCAATGTCTCTATAGTACATGTCCAAAACGCATACTTAAGGATACTATTATCACGGAACAGAATATATTTTATTGAATTTATTCTGTAACATTAATATTAAAACTGAGCGCACACGTTGGTTTCAAACATAGAGTAGTTTAAAAGACCTTAGTCACAGTTCTGAAGTCTACTGGTTTCAAATTATCATAGAACGATAACACAGTTACAATGGAAAGATTACTTCTTACCCACGAAGGTATAACCTAAAAAAAAAGGTTCGTTGGAAAAAATATACTGGCAATATGTAAACATATGTTTTATATGCGGTGTATCAGCTTTGCGACCTTGATAATCATTCGCGATCGGAGCTCATTCAATCGTGCTGTAGGTCCGATATTATTTCTGTTTGTTTGACGAACAGATATTTCGCTAAATAATGGCGTCACTAGGAAAAGTTTTGCGCAGTACATTGTTCACAAGCTCCGGTGCTCGGATGCTGAGACGCTACCCGCTAGCGTGTACAGGCAATCGGCTTTTGAGTGAAACAAAATTCATCAATAACCTTAATCTTCAAAAATGCATAGTACCTACGGTAAGAATCGCTTGCAATGCAACCATATTATTATAATTATTTTTTTATTTTTATACACCGTGTGGAGGAAAACGCGTGCGCGATGTGTGTGAAAATCCGAGATTCTAACGAGTTGATTTCCCGGTTTTAAGGTGTGTGTTGGTCGACATTATTCGGACACAACGGCAGCCAGTCGAATGTCTATGATCGAAATTGAAAAAAGAGTGCTTAAAGTGTGCAGTGCGTTTGATAAAATTACTGCAGACAAGGTATGTAAATCACATTTTATTATTTCAGACACTTGTGCGGCATTACAGTGTCAAGCCACCGTTGACTATTGACCAGATTAAAAAGCGTGTTCTACTGGTATTACAGTTATATGACAAGGTCAATCCGGATAAGGTATACAGAAATTTAGCAACTATTCATACAAATGAGTTATATCCTTATGATTTTAATCATTCAAATCTAATATGGTTTTCATCTACATATATCATATGAGCTTATCTCTAAATAAAGGACAACTTTATACATACATTTTGTTTGATTTATAAACTAAATTTTGTATTTCAATTTCTTCTAAATATGTTAAAAACTTTATTTTTCCATATTTTTTCTGTAAAAGTAATGAAAAATGTATGTATATTGATAATCTTATTAAATACCCATAAAGATAAATAATTTGAAAAATAATTTTATATTTTATTTTGTTAAATTTTATTTTACCAAAAATATATGGACCTTTTACAACTGTTGTCATAATTGATAATTTTGTAGATCACTTAAAGTTTAAAAGTTTTTTTGGCTATATATTGTCCATCTTACTAAAAGAATCTGTTTTACGATTTCATATCTTAAAAAAAAATATTTATCCATTTTATTATATTCTTGTATTGAATACTAATAGATTTATTTATATTGATTTCAGCTTACACTTGAATCACATTTTATCAATGATTTAGGATTAGATTCATTAGATCATGTTGAAGTAATCATGGCTATAGAAGATGAATTTGGTATTAAACATTTTTATTTTATTTAGAAGCAAGATACTAATATTTATTTTAAAATGTATAGGTTTTGAAATTCCTGATGAGGATGCTGAAAAATTGCATAAACCTAAAGATATTGTGCAATATGTATGTGACCGTGAAGATATTTATGATTAAACCAACTAGTCCTATATCTTTATGTTACTGATTGTAGTTTTTCCAAATGTAATAACAACTTATTGGAACATCGACACTGATTTGTAATTTTTTTTAAGAATATAAGTATAGTAAGTGTTGAAAAAGTTGCTTTGTCTGAAATACAATTTTTTTTTTTTTTATTAATATTATTATTTAGTTGTACACAAACATTGTTTATTTTGTTTATTTTATGAAAATCCTTTGTAGTATTTATACGCCCAATAAGCATCAATTGCATATAAAGCTCCAAGAATAAATCCTAATATCTGAAAACCAAAATTAAATGAGTCAACATTTTAGAAGATAAAAACAAATTATTTTAATATTATTTTTCTTACATATGTCAGCATTATTGCTGAAAACAAAGAAGTAAATGGTATAACCATAAGAACTGGATATAATATTGCATATAGTGCTATCGTTAGTAATGATGATGAACTGATATAACAAAGTGATGCAAAAATTCCAAAAATGATTTCCTGAAATAAATTTAAAATTACCATTTATTATATTTTTTACAGATTGTATTTAAATTTTTATGTATACTTACAAAAAGTGTTGATCTAACAAGTGTTTCAGTATTTCTTGATAGCAAATAAGATACACTTATGACTGTTGTTGTCATTAAGCACCCAGCAACAGTTGAAAGAAATGATTCATAAGAAGTTCCAATTGTCGGAATGTACTTTGTCCCATAAAACAACATTAAACTCTGGCATATCGATCCCAATATCTAAATGTATAACAATAATATTTTAATTAAGCTATTTGTATCCATATGGCATCACCCATGAAAATAATTTCAATTCAAATATCTTTTATCTTTTCATATTTGTTTTTAAACATAGTAATATGTATTGCCTGTACCAAGAGAAAAATTGATGCTTATTGTTAATTTTTATAATTTAATAGATTTAATCTATGAAGCATAAAAATTAGTGTTTGAGAATGGAAATTGTATAGGTATAACAATAGATAGAGCAAAAGATAAAAATACTGAATATCTATTCAGTATTCACTATTTTGATAATTCAAAGATTTAAAAAACATCTTTGTAAACATTGTTAAGTTTTTCCTGATTAAGGGCTAAAATGTAAAAATTTAATTTTTATATCTCACATGACTGGCAACATACAGGTCAACTATGTAGTCAATATGAGGAAAACATTGAACGCTTAGGTCAATTCCAACAATATTAAGTATTTATTCATGTACATTATTTGTTCTTATTCTAAATGCTAATTGAATAGGAAATTAAATACGCTTAAACTTTAAATCATTTAATTTTTGTCTTGCTTGTTTGTTAGTGATAAAATTGCCCATACCTGAAACCAATGCAGTAATTTAGAATATTATATTCTAGATTTGCTGTAAACTTAAATTTTGTATTTTTTAAAAATTTAATATTTTTATTTGGCATTAACTTACAAGAATTAGTTATTATATGAATACTTGAATAAACTTAAAATTAATTTATATTCTATCCACAGGATTCAACTAATAAATAGTAATACTTTAAAATTGTGTACATGTATTTTTGCTTAAATATTCAACTACTAAGCCCCAATTATATTTTTATAGTTGTATTAATTCTTAACAAATAAAAATGTTTATTTAAAGTGAAAACATAACTACATTGATATTATTTTGAAAACAAATATCTAATTTGCCCGAACAACATTTATTATATAATTTTTAATTTATAAGGGGGCCAAAATTAAATTTATCTTCTACAAGTTTTATATAAAAAAAAGGTTTTACTGTGTAAAGTAAAAATATTTTATATGAAAAATATAGAATTGTGATTAGTACCCAAAGTTCATTACAAGAGTTTGGAAGTTTTAGAATCTAAATAGATAAAATGTGCACACAAACAAGTTTAAAATATGAGAGATTACAATATGATATGAGATATAATATGATATGATATGAGATATAATATGAGAGAAACTATAGATATCTAATTTTATTATACTTAAAATTATACTATTGATTTTTTAATTTTGCATACTAAAGCATAATAGTCTCTCGCAATTGACTCTGTCAAAATAAAATACTATTGTTTCTAGAAAATATCATGTTTCCTTTTATATAATTTTTAAAAATCATTACATATTAAAAGTTGTATTCAGATTATACAAATTATACAATACAAAAAATGTTATGATATTTGAATGTTAACAGCTTACACAAAACTGACAAGGAATACTATATTAGCACATGATCCATATAACCCCACCATAGACATATAATTACAATTCATACCATATAACAGATAATTTATTATTTATAATGATGGATCGGCGAATAGTTGCTCTGTGATCCCTGTTGTTAACAATTAAAAAATGTATTCATTTATTATTCATTAAATGTATAAAGTAATATTAATCTTTTAAGTTTTTATTTTAGGAAAACCAAATTTTCATACAAATATGTATAACATACACTGAAAAAGATCAAATGTGGAAGAAAAAAAATTTCAATTTTTATGTGCATGAAATTAATTTATAGCTTGGATTTCAACCACTGAGTTGCGACCCAATTTTGGGTTGCTATAAGTCTGATTAAAATTTAAAAAATTCATATTCATTTATATCATATTATGTCTGTTTTATGATATTGGATAAATAAATTTTCTAATGAACAACAAACCGTACTATTTTATATTTGTAGAAGATAAGAATGAACACTTTTATCTCATACATTCATATTTAATAAGAAAACAACCTCAACCAATATGCGACACATGCTACAAATCATTAACTGTTGAACACATAGTGGAGGAATGTACACAATATAGGTACCTCATACGCACCATCCTAAACATGCCATCCAACATAGTAAAAATACTTGGCGAAAGCTAAATTCTGAAAATTATCATATTTTTAAATATCACAAATATTATTAGTAAATCTTAATCTTAAATCTAAATTTACCTACATAATATGTAATATTTTAATTTTAAAATTGGCACTAATGACAATAATGACCAAGCAAACTAAGTAATGGTGTAGCAATAGCCCAATTCAATCCATAAAACTAATTTACATGTGATGTATCTATAAATAACATTGCATGAAATCGAACTGGGTGAAGGTATTTTTTGTGAAAACAGTCCGGGACAAATATCGTACTAATTTGTTTTTTGTGTATTTTTACTTGAATTTTTTTTTTTTGTATCTTATAATAAAAATTTGATATTACCTTGAAAATACCTAGAAAAATATAAATTTTAATTGATTCAATTTAAAAGCACTTCTACAATGGCATACTTTTAACTTTTTTTTGTTGGTTTTTATGGCTAATGAAGTTTACATGGGTCGAAAAAAATGTACGGTAAGAAAAGTGGATCGCGAGTCGAAAAGGTTGAAGACCACTGAATTAGAAGTACCCAATGGCGGATTCAGGATTTTTTTTTGAAAGGGGGTTTTGAAAAATGTTTTCCCTTGGGATATTTTTTATAACATTGCAGTCAGTGATTGATAATGAATTAAGAATAGTAAGAATATATTATGTTAATTTAAACTAAGACTACTATTTTATTGTATGTATGAATAAAAATACAAATTATATACTTTCCCTCATACTTTAAAAAAAAAAAAAAAATCTTTTTCTAAATTTATAAAATTATTGATTTTTAATATATATTTTTCCTGATTTTAGTGTTAGTTTAGATGTTAGTGACTTGTTTATCCTGTTTAAAACATACCTATTCTATAAATTTAGAATTTAAAATTTAATGAAATTTAAATTACATTTAATTTGAAATATCCAAATGTTAAATAGATTTTTAAGAGTTGTGGCGCTTGTTTCATAGCTATGAAAAATCATCATAGTGTTCATAAAACTAATTTTAATTGAAACTCAATTCACAAAAAATATACTCGTACTATAAACTACTAACAAATTTTTTAAAAAATTATTTGTCAACAATTTTAAAATATTTGAAACATAGTTGAATTTAAATTATCCTATATAATTTTCATAAAATTCCTATTGTAAATGAAATCCCTGGAGAACATAATCAAAACATCTCTATATATTTATTAATATTTAGGCTGTTAGGAGATAGTTGATATTTTAAGTACAACATAATTTCGTAATTTTATTTTTTCAACAAAATCATTTTCTAATAAAATAACTAATAATCAATTGTGTTTAGTAGATACTTACAATTTGAATTATTTTTAATATTCCATATGATGTTGTGAAATACTGTATGTTAAAACATGAACAGAGCATACACGATAGGGGTGCCGCCCTGGTGTAAGGTCTACTGACCATGTACATTTTATTAAAAAAAAAAAACAAAAAATACATTCAATTCGGTTTTTAAAGTATGATCACATTACAATGCAAGTGTACAGGCTAGACTAAACTACTGATAATTTTCCCTCATGTACGAACTATTACCCCCTAATGAGAGCAGTAGTAATGTGGTATTTTTAACTTCAAAATAAACGTACTCCGCACCAGATAACCAGACAAGATTCTCTTCAGAATTGTCAACACCTGCTAACGATTAACGAAAATATAATAGGTCGATATTTTTTAATATAACACGTAACGTAACACAATATAAGCAAAAAAAAAAAAAATAGTAGGTAATCGTTTTTATCAAGTTATTAATTTGATATTTTATTATTTTACAAAAAAATATTAAATTTATTTTAATTGTGTTAAGATTAATAAATATTTCATAATATTAGTATAATAAATGCGAGCACACAATTTGATTCATATTTATAAGGCACATGAAAAATATACAACAAAATAAATAGGTACTTAAGGCACAAAATTATCACTTAAATTTATAATAATTTGAACAATGTGATAAGAATTAACTTAAGATGCTCAATTATTCGTTTAACACGACTCATAAATAAAAGTAGCTCTATGTATATATATATATATTAATTTTTTTTGTCTTAATTTACTTATCGAATAAAACAAACACTTTCTGGTATAATATAGGTCAAGCATAGTTAACGAAGTTAATACTTTAAGTTCAGGGCATAGTCATATAAATGGTTTGATAGACCAAAAAAATACATAACTTCATACTTCATTATAATATAATAAATTATGTATTTAAGCTGATTTAAATTCTTTATTAATCTGCACACTGTTTTCTATTTGTCCGTGTGGCTATGCTCCTTGTATATGAAATATTTAATATGTTGCTTATGGGCCTCTATATGAACGGTAGCCCCAGATTGAACTCAACAAATAAAAGGCTGCCATTACTAGTCCCAAAATCTAAATAAACATGAATACATATTAAAAAAAAAAAATCAATTTATTTTTAAATTTTATGTTTACCGAAACAATAACAAAGTGATTGTGATTGGCCCGATTGTCATTTTGATTCGCATCGAGTAATAGGAATATAGATGCTATTAACAAAAATATAAATCCAGCACCATGGTAAATGAACTCCTGCATGAAAAAATATTGTTATTCATAAAATAGTCAATACATCATAATTAATAATTATTAATTAATTTAATAATATTTTTATTAAATCATTAACATTGAATGTAGCCTTTTTTTTACAGTACCTATTTTTAATTTATATAACATCAACCATTAATCTAAGTAATTAATGATTACAAAAATATTAGGATAGTAAATATTTAAATAATAACGAATACATTATTATAAAAATATATTTATTATCAGATCCTATTAAATGTATTAGCTGTATAAAATTTCCTTCAAAGAAAAATAAATGGTGAACATTAGTTTATTTACTAATATTGATGACGTTTGTTAGAGTTTCATTTAATAGGTATAAGTAATTTTACAAAAATACATGTATCGGTCGGTATTAAATGTATGATAATCCGACTTATCAATTAAATTAAAAGTGATATCAAAATCTTCTTTGGAATAATAAAAAAAAAATTGCTAAAAGTAATTAATTTATTATATCTTAAAAATGAAATGAAATAAAAATACTCGTCAGTGAATGGCTTCTTTCTTTGTAATATTGTTGATGTTATTTTATTTTTATTTACATATTATAATTAATTATATTATTGTGCTCATAACGATTTAGATTGTGAGTTTTATTAATTAAGAAAAAAATATTTCATAATAGCTTGACCATAAAGATGTTTGAAATTAAATAATTTACTTACAAAATTAGTTTTTGATATGATAGGTCCAGTGGAAATAGATAGCAGACAAGAAATCAGTAATAACAGACTTGTTAAGAAAAATGTACACACTATTCCTAAAAAGAAAAGGTTGGAGTGGTTTGCGCCATATACCCAGCAGTTACATAAAGTATCTTTATTGTAAATCAACAGTCCCAAAATAATACCACCTAAAATCTGGAAAAAAAAATTATTAAATAAACGTTTAATTGTATTATTAAATTAAAACCTTGTTGGAAATAATTGTAGTTATTTCAATGTCGGTTTTCATTTTTCAAAGTAATATTAAAAAATTATGCTTTCTAAAGCCTATTATGGTTATGAGCTTTGACAAGATATAATACAAATAATAATATACAATGTAATATAATAATTCTTTTATTATCCATGATCTATGCAACTTTTTATATTGTATCATACGAATACCTAGCTATAATCATTTACACAATTATTTAGCTATAAACTAATAATAATTGACTATTATATCTGAATGTTTATTTACATCATTTGAAATTATAAAAATATAATATTGTGCCCTTGACGTACTACCACTTAACCGACAAAAAAAATATTATAAACATTATTTATCGTAAACTGTATGTGGTCTAGTCCAATGAAAACCACTAGGTCAAAACGCTGTTGAATATAATATTACCTGAATATTTTTAATGTCTTGGTGATGTTTACCATATTTTTATTTAAAATTATTTCATTGCTGTTGCGGTTTTTCGTATATACATTTTTTTGGTGAAAATGTCAAGGCTAAAAAATAATCCTATTTTCCAGTTCGGTAATCGCAATGTACAGTGATATGATGACTATTAGTCTGAAGGGGAGTGTATGTCATGGCGCCACAGCCCTTCCGGAGAACTATATCGATCACGAGTTTTTCAATAAACCTCCGTCTAGGGGACACGCCCTGGATACTTGGCCTAGATACGTATTTTACCAATGTATTTCGACTGCAATGAACAACAACAAAACTGTTGATTCATATATAGGGGAAAAACGTTTAATTGTTTGTTTGTTCTCTGTTAGATTAACCAGTACGCACCATTGATTTGTTTAAATGAAAAATGTCGTGATTATGTCAGTATCTGCCGTTAACTATAATATAAACCTGTGACCATTAAATAAATACTGAATAGATAAAACTTTTTTTACGGCAACTCTTCCGAGATTCCTAATAATAAAAAACCTTTCAACAATATATCAACGAAAATTTTTATAAGTCCCACCAAAATAGCACAATATATTATTGAACAGTTCAACAGCCGTTCTGCAGTAATAGATGTTTTTTTTATTATATCCCGCCAACCGTATGCGGTATTAACGATTTCTATTAAAATAATTACTTGTTACAAGTTGATTCGAGTCGCAAAAAGTTACTCTTAGAGTAACGTTGAAATTTCCTACGACACTTTACCTCGCCATATTGGTCTTAGTACGAGAAAACACTAAATTGGCTGCTAATGAAATCTAAACATTTTGGAGGCAATGACATGTCCAATTTTTAACAGTTGTTGTTTTTTCCTCGGATCGATATTGAAAAATAGGTGTATCACAATGCCTCTTGTTTCTAGATGCTTGAATCATATAACATGCGTGCCTATTATTTGTTACAAGATCACTACTAGGAACAATAAATCATTGTATTCCTCGATTAAAGTTTTTTTTTGTTCCAGAAACCGATTTGACGTCTTCTTACAACGATTTCGTTTCAGGTATTTTCGTATTTACCGAGTTACTTATTATTATAAAAGCTTGTTGGCCCATAGGAGAGACGTCGAACACAAATGTTGCTAATCCACCCATGTATAACATTATACAGTTGTACCGAAGTGGACCGAAACGTTTCATTGGTCCTATTACAATGTCGCCTCGCGCTGCACGAAAACGCGCGTTCAGATTTAATTACGTGTCTGCGGGGAGTTATCTGCATGTAAATTTCAAATGATCATGTTTTTCCATCGCCTCGGTTTTACATACGTGTACAGATCCACTACCTCGCCCGAAAAAAAAAAAAAAAACCATAAATTATTAACACGTGCTGACGGGTAATTTAAAGCCGGAGCATGAGGTCATCCTTTCCCGTCGGCATTGCAAGCACTCATTAGTCAACTCGTTACGAATGTGTCTATATACTACGATGCACCCGATCCTGCAGTGTATCACGCCGGTTAGAGATTCGGGGCATAACATCGCATTCGATTCGTACGGTCGTAGAATAATTATAACCCGTCGTCTCGATTGTTTGCGCTCGTACGACGCGATTTAGGACTGCGTTTTTTTTACGAGACTTACGAGTCATTATTGTATTTACGCATGACGTAAGCCGCATGATCCTAATCCATAGTTATAACATCGACAGACGGGACGAAGGGGTTTTTTTCTTCAAACATAATACGTACAACTTATACGAGAAAATGATTGAAAAACTTTTCGTTTCAACCCCTATGTTTAACATCATCTGTTAAACGTTTAAAAGTGACAGATTTTACCCAGTATATAATGAAAATTATATGCGAATTGAACATATAATCTCGAATAACTATAGTAACTAACTGGTCCTGAAATAGGAACATTTATATATTCATTCCCCAGACGGTAGTTCTTGTCCAATAATACACAAACTTACGACTTCAGCTAATTTCAATAACCCGGGTATGGATTTCACGTAACCCGTGTTCAGGATTATAGCGGACGTGGTAGATGTTGTGGTTCGGGTAACTGTCACTGTGTGAGACATTTCTCTAGACCTGTAACATAAAAATACGTATAATATATAATACATTTTATATTTATAAGTTTTAGGGAAAATTTTTAAAAAAAAAACAAAGAAGTATCACTTTCACATTTATTACATTTTTATACCATCGTATAAACTTAATTTCAAAATGTATCATTCTTATTGAATATTAAGTTACAAAACAATTATTGACAGTCGTAAAATAGATAATAGTTCTATTATAATATTATTTATTCTTTGATTGAACTTCGTTTTATTTCTCCGGATTATTTCTTTTCACACATCCTCGATCCCTCAGTTACCAAACAACCTATACCTGTCTTCTCAACTCTCGATCTTCTACTATTATTCTCTCTATCATTTTACGATTTGTTTCATCCTTAATTTTGGCTTCCTGATGCAAACAGTAATTCATAATTGTTCCCTTCAACTTAATATGACGTACCAAATCCCTAATAATATGTCGTACTATAATGTTATATAAATAAAAGCACTTTAATTTAAAAAAAATAAAAATTAATCATTTTTTATTGTTTATTTCATGAAACTACCATTATGTACTAAGTATAAGTACCGACATTTGAAAAATCAATGGTCTTAAAAATTATGAAAGTATTTCGCACTGAAGCCCTTGAAATAATAATTTAAATACAAATATTATTGAAAACTATATCCGTTTTTGTTATTTATGAAATGCAATTATATGTTAATGTTTTTCAATATATGTTAATATTTACAACCCACGTATATTTCATTTGTCGGCTAAATACTGAAAACAATTCTCCGAGAATGTTAATATTGTAACCCTGAAAATGATTACGTCATTTTCAAAACTTAACTCCGGCTTATAACGTATATAATTAAGTATATTATGTATATATATAAAAATGAACGAATATTGTGATCTCATACCATCAACGGTAAAAATATATTTTTCACGATTAAGTAGCGAATTTCAACTCATACAAACAACATGGCGAATAAAGGTTTGTCGTGCATCAGATGTAATTATTAAACCCAATCCGAGATTGCTATAGCAATAAAAAAATTAAAAAAATTACCTACCTGCACTGAATCTAATGTTGTGTGTAGGTTCTGCGTTTTTAAAGATGGAACATGAAGATTTCTATTTTTATTCGATTATGGTCATGTTCTAGTGGTCCCGTATAATACTAATAGGTACGTAAGTAATATTCGTTTGTCCACCGGTTGTCTCGTTTTTCTTTTTTCACTTCAATTACATTTTTTATTTTAAAGAGTTCATCGGATTATTATAACACGTGTGTGGTTCTTCTGACCACGTGCGATCGCGCGTATGCAAGAGCAATCCCAATCCCGAACCCAACTCAAATTATGCCTGTTAGACTATACAGTACATTAGCTTAACATTTTCATTGAAATGACATGCGACTATATCATTTGTATGTTACGCGAACGGTACACATAAACAACAATAATTACCGGAATGGACGTGAACGCGGACACGAAAATCCTATTGTATCGCGCACGCACAAACACGGACCGCGCCGTAGCCTTAAGTGCGATGACGACACTCGGTGTGTCTGTTATTCGGTTATGGGCACACATTACGTACCGTACGACGCTAATGTATATGTATTTATTGTACATTTTACAGGCATATTACCTTGTGCGTTCCTTATTGATGCGACGTAGGAGTAATATAAAAAATGAAATAATAAATGCATTTCATACCTAAATGGTTTTTTTCAAGTGCCTACAAACAAACTAATATAGCGCATACGCTTGCAAGGTCCGTGTTAATTCCGGAACGACACATACGTTGTATATTATTTACTGTGACACGAAATATTCCAGAAACTATTTAGTAATTCCTATCGATATATTGTTTTACGTTATTTTTTTTCTAAACGTAAACTGTGCCGTCGGATCAATAGACTTAACGGCGTCTGTTTTTACTTTTCTTTTTTTTAATATAAGTCTCTTTGAATCAATCCGAATTGCAATACAACAATAATTTTTACCCCTGACATTAACATCTGACAATATAATCGAAGCCCCCTTCGTGCCTATATACTGTGTACAATTACAAATTCATTATTACAACTATGCAGACGTAGTGTTTTTTTTTTCGTTCCTGTCATGCTGTCAAAATACAATATAAAAATACTTAGAATTATTATTGATACGTGTTTGTACCGTGTTCATTATTTTTTTTTCAATTAAGGAATCAATAATAGTGTACATTAATCGGAATCAAGGAAAAAAAAATACATATAAACATAAATGTATGACTTTTTTTTATAAAAAAAAAAATATATATATCTTATCTAGGATCGTCAAAAAATGCGGAAAAAATGTCAAATTCGTATTGTTATAGTATGGTAGCCCACTTCACCTACGTGTTTAATTTTTATTCCATACGTAATGTACATATTTATGAGTTATAATTTGCATTATTTTATACATTTTCATCTTCAAATGTTCGCTAAATGTATACGATGAAATACAATTTTTTTTTAAATGTAAAAACATTTAAAAAAAAATTTTATTTAAAAATTTAAAAAAATTAAAAATTTTATTTAGTAATTGTACTTACAGGTGAGTTCGAATAGTTTCCATGTTTTAATATTTTTGTACTTCATTCGTCTTAATAATCGACACGTATTTAGAAAACAATTTTATTACACAAGTAATAAAAATAACATTAACGTAAAAACATTTAAAAATCGTTATTGAATTATCTGCATATATTATGGAAGTTTTCAATCCTCGCTGTTGCCTATGAACTTAAGTTAATTGTTTAGTTGACTACGTACGGACGAAAACAACAAAAATACATAGTATTTAATTTTTAATGCAACAATTCTGATTTTCAGACTTTTTAATTAAACTTGAGATTTGAACAAACTAAAAACGACAACACTACATACTATAACAATAACTGATTGCTCTGAATTTGAAGCTAATAAATATAATTATTTAAGATATCTGTAGCTAATCCAATAGCAATGACTAATCTTGACTATTGTAGGTAATGTAATTATGTAAACATTATATGTCAATAGTCATATGCATATCTGTAACTCATTGTGAGATTAATCATATACCATATAGATTAGAAAACCATATCATAATACCAATATTTAAATTTCACAAATTATAAAATAATACAAAAACAATTCTCTATTATCGGAGAAAAATTATTAATCATACAATTTTAAACCTAAATGGGTAACTAGGAATGAATAGTTTTTCGGCAACCTGTGATGATTCATAAATAAATATATACATAGTATTCGTGTGTTAACATACTACGTACAAATATACACGTGTAGGTTTTTTTAATTCAATATTTTTTTAAATGTTTTTATTTGAACTTAATGTTTCAAAGCGTACTGTACACATCGCCTAATTGAGTCACGGTTATTTCGCGCGAGTCCCGGAAAAATATACGGATTAATTAGATTCGTTACAATATGATATATGCCGTAGATAAGTTAATTGAAGGTGAAAGTTCTTCAATGATCTCGAAATGTAATGACGGTAGCGCGTTAAACGTTTCGATTACTTGATTATATATAGTTATATACACTTACACATGGGACATCAACTCGTATAAGTGGGTCAGGAGGAGTGTACTAAATTTAGAAATTGCTAGCGGAATGCCATATCATAAGGACTATATCTATTTTAAATTTAATATTTTAATATATATATATATGCACGTGAGCTTTATGCAAAATGGCGACAATCCAATACGAAAAGTCCTTGGCGCGTGGCCATGTTTACGAACCTAGAGCATTTTCAAACTTTTACACGTTGAGAAAGTTTTGATTGCAATAAATACATCAACAATAATAAAACATAACAAGGTAGTTGACCCTGTTGTACGTACAATAATGTAACATTGTATCCAAGTGCCTACTTAACACATGTTTTAAATTATATCCGTACTAATTATTTAACACTAAATTAATTGCAATACTACGGTTATTGCATTATTACGCACGTACGTGTGTGTTGAAATCAGTCGAATAAAAATGGTAGCTGCAATTTTTTTTTTTATTGAAAACAATGTTTCTCTGACGATGTCTAGAATTAGTTTTAATAATACGAACGCACGAAATCAGTATGCGCAAGCACTCGAAGAAATTAATCAGAAAGTCGCACAATCAGAAAAACAGTTATGTCGGTTATAAATAAAAAAAACAAACAAAACTATTAGTATTCAATCCCCGTAACAGATTTTTTTTTAACCAAACGTCATTGTGACGGATTTCATCGTTAAACAAACGATGTCGTAATCGTCAACGGTATTTGTGTTTATTACGTACACTTACGGTCCGGTCTTAAAAATGTAAAACCGAACACGACGCCACCGTCCCTAAAATCTAGATGGATTCGATCCACAAACACGATCGGTCAACGCTTAAAGTATTGCCATTCGTCGGGCATTAGCCGTTAAAAGCGCACGTAGTTTTAAAAAACCATAGGTATACCGTGTTAGTCACTGTAACCCGTTTGAGTTCTAAAACCGACGAATTAAACGTGCCCGCGACCATGGGCGTCACTATATTCCACATTTTGGAGTAGCAAAACGTATTTTTAGAAAATGAAAAAATAATTTTTTATAGGTTTAATATGATAACTAGCTAACCTCTTCTGCATAAATCTCGGTATGACGTATAGTGTATACACTGCTTTATCGTCCGTATTGGACTTATCACAAAATATAATTGTTTTGAATACAATTACAATAATATAGTCTCTGTACACACTTGAATAATAAACATCGAATATATTTTTAAAATCAATGACTTTTTTTGGCGTAGCAAAAAGATACTATTGCTACACCACAAAAATGTCTGGGGTAGCACCAGGGCCGGAACTACGGGGTGGAAGACGGGGATTCATCCCCGGGTGTAACATTTTAGAGGGTGTAATTTTCGTAATTATTAACAACTAATTTGATATTTTTAACTTCGTTAAATACTGATATTAGGTTAAAACTCAATAAGTACGGTTGTATATTGATTATAAGAACACAATTTATTTGAGTATTTGTTTATTAGTCTATGGATAGGGCGTAAATTTAACATTTTACCCGGGCGTAAAAAATTCTAGTTCCATCTCTGGGTAGCACGGATACCCCTAGATAGCCCTAAGCGAAGCCTATGCCCACGACGATCGCGGTTCCGCGCGCGACAACGTACGATCAGGTCAGCCGTACTAGCGCGCAACGGTGTCGTTATCGGATTTATTGCGTTCCGCGAGTCCCGCGTCGTTCGAAACCCAACCGAGTTCGGTTACGGTCGAGTATACCAATAAAACCACGCGGGGTGTTAAACGAATGAATGCGGTGCGTGCGCGTGATGTGCGCGTGAATAATGATGACGGGTCTTACCTTTACTTGCACGGTTTACACGGGGTGAGAATAAAAGACGATAAGCGTTTTCGTTTCGACGTGACACTGTCGACGGTCTATCGACGCAACAGGACGGACCGGGACAACGGTAGTGACACAGTGGTGTGAAAAACAAACAAGTGCGTATCGATCCGGACAACAGTGCACAAACTTGCGTGATTGACGTCCAAACGTTTACTGTGCGAAGGGAACGGCGTCCGTCGGACGCGGCGTCGTGTACGCGACGTGCGCGCGCGCGTTTGTACGCGAGTGTGTGCGTGTGCGTGTATTAAGTGACCATAAAATTCCACTCTTGAGCCGCCCACGGGCTTTCGGAACGCGAACTTGTAGGCGACTGTCACACCGCGGCGTAGATCACCGACGAAGTCATCCGCACAGTTTCTGCGTACAACGTTATAATCGTATGATCGAGAGATTCGCGCGAGAAAGTGATTTCCGAGAGAAAACCGCGCAAACGGTGCGGACGACGGGTTTCAGAAGTACAACGTACTTGTACGATCGCGGTACTTGCATAATCCACGGACAACCTTTCAATCGCCTCGTCCCGGTGGTAATAAAGTGCCCGTGTCCGCCGCGTACGCTTCTAATACTCACTTGATGATCGGTGTTCATTACAAAGTGATTTTCGATCTTAAATTCTGGTAAACACTATATATTTTTATCCGAGGAGAGTGGGTGTATCACCCCTCAGTGGCGTATTTGCGGGGGGGGGGGATAGGGGCGATCGCCCTCCCGGGATATGTTTGAAAATCACATTTTATGTTTGTTGAACTTTTCTTTTTTTTTTTCCGTTTGAATCGCCGACGCCACGGGTAGACTTTCGTATTACTTCCGTCATGCCGTCAAATATTTGTTGAACTTATGAGTGTTTCTAAATATTTTAATCAATGAATAATTTTTTTTTTTTTATTGCACTTCGGAGTTATTCTTGTTGATAACTTTATGATAATTTTTCATACATTTGATAAGAACTTTTTGTTGCCACTTAATTTATGCTCGATGTACAACCATATTATCTACAACCGCGATTACGGCCCACGAGTGATAACTGATAATATCAACCAGATCACTGATTAGTGATTGTTTATTGCTCTATGGTACGCATAGCGTATACAAATACAAGGAACATTTCCAAAGGTGAGCGAGTTAATGAAAATGATTAACTCGAATTAAGTTAAGAAAACACAAGATCGATAAGTTAAAAGTTAATAAGGAAAAAAATATTAATTTAACTCAGTTTAAAAAAAGTTAATCTACTTTTTTTAATTAGTATGTAGAACATATAAAAAGTTACTGAGTTCTTTAATAGTATCTAATTTTCTAAATTATAATAAACAATTTTATTGAATTTTTTTATCATAGTATATAGCAGTGGCGCCGAAGTGTTTGAAAAATACTATGAAATTATACATCAAGGAGTAACTCACTACTATATTTATTTATCTTTGTAGTTAAAATTTTTTATAAATAAAATTCTGTACCCACGGTCAGAACCTAATACCCAAAGGTGGGCCTCAACCTACAAAATCTAATATGTCATCTGATTTACAGTGTGACATTTTACTTTACATGATTATTTAATTTTATAATAATATTTACGTATTAACGAGAAATTTCAAAAAATTTTTACTAATTAGATTAGGATATTATATTAAGATAATGTTTTAATCAACTGTGAAAAGATAAGTTATTTCAACTGCCAAATAAACTAGTTAAGTTAAAAAGTGAAAAAAGTTAAATTCTCAACTTAACTTTAACTTTTTAACTAGTTAATGCCCACATTTGAACATTTTACTCTTTACTGGAAGGAATGGTTTATGATAATACGGAACGTCACCCGTCAAAATGGTCACGTTGTGTCATTTAGTCATCGTGATAAACTGATAATTGCGTATTTGAATTGGCTTACTTAATCGTCTATGAATTGGCTTACAGGCTTGGCATTACTAAACATTCATAGATCAATTGAAATAAGTGTTGATGATGTAATTGATAGATTTACAAGTACCTATTAAAAAAATAAATATAAATTTTGATTTGTAAATGAAAATGTGCTTTATTTTTTTAAATGTATAAAAAAAAGTGTTTGGGTTGTGTGGAGTGCAGTTGACTCCTCTTAATATCCCCCCCCCCCCCGAAGTGAGGTCTCAAATACGCCACTGATCACCCTGCCCATGAATCAATTATTGGCTATAACATTTCGTAAACGAGCAGTAGTAAATAAAAATGCGTGCGTGTAAAAATGCCAACAACACTGCTTTATTTATTAGCCGCGATTTCGATTTATTTACAGCAACGACTGTAGCGCACATGTTAAGTAAATAAAATATCTCTAACTATTTACGTACCACCCATCGGCTGGGTACAATTATAATTTTCTAATATTAATTCTTCATTCGTTACGAATCTTGAAAATAATCCTACATGTTATATTACTTAACTGATTCTAAGTGTCGGTTACCATATACTCTTAAATGGTTATAATTAGGGCCCGGAATTGTATGCATTTGCATATTTTTATACAATAAATTAAAAAGTAGCTAGGTAAGACAAATTTGAATCTTAACCTAACGTGTTGGTATGCGAAATTAAATTTGACATATTTTTGCATATTTGGAACATTTCAAATCATTATGAATATTTTAGAATATTTCTGAAAAGAATATTACGAATTTATTAATATTATTATTTACTACTAGCGCATGTCCATCGTAACTTCCGTGAATCGTGCAGTTATATAATTTGATTTTTGTGTTGTACTAAGATAAGATAAAGTTTGCTAAAAGTACCAATCCGATAGTAGCTCTCCGGGTAACTTTAAAAATATTATAAAAATCCGCTTGATTTGTTTAAATTGATTTTCATTTATGAATTTTTGTTCAGATGAGTATGTTCAAAATACAATTTAATTTCAATACAACATACAGTTCAATAAAATATATAAAATACAGTAGATATATTTTAAAGTATATTTTTTATTGAATATCAATTATTTAATGAATTGTATAGATTTTAAAATTAAATAAATTTAATAAATAATAAATATGCATTTTTGTTTGCATATTTTTGCATATTTTGAGTGCATATTTGAATGATAACTATCGCATAAATGCATGGATATTTCGTACGTTTTTAGTGCATATAATTCCGAGCCTAGTTATAATTTATACAAATAAACCATTTTAAAATGTACCATAAAAACACTGAGTCATGGTTCTATACTGAAATACAACATAATTAAAATACGATAATTTTCAAAACAGTAAAATTGAACTGTAGGAAATAATAACCAACGTACAGATTTCATCGACATTTTCAACTTTAAATTATTATAAAAATAAAAATAAATAGTTTATATAAAAAAATTAATACATGCTTAAGCCTGGAGTATTATTATACAAGTATTTGTAATATACGTCCGGTTTCGAATAAAAAAATTCACCATAAAAATATTAGGTTAAGCATTTATTTATTTATTTTTATTAATAAACTATTAATATATTCATTTACGAGTATAAACTAACAACTCATTAACTTTTATTACTTTATAATTTAAATTATAAATAATATAATTATATATATTGACCACGATTTCTTTGATAACTATTACAGAATTTTAAATTACATTTGTGTATTATATGTCTTCACACATTTGACGTACAAGTCACAGCTCAGAAAATTGGATAATTCCCACAACTCACTAGTAATATCAGTTTATCACTGTCAAAAAGTTAAGTTTATCGGAAGAGAAGGCTAATTTATATGCCAAGTATATATAGTAATAGCCTATAGGTTGTACGACGGATGCGTTGCAAAAATTAAAAACAAGAATTTTATATTTCGAAGAAAATTATTTATTACTATTGCGGGTCTAATAGTAAATTCGACCTTTTCATTTCCGCTTGAATGTCATTGTGGCTGGAAGAGAATTTCACGAGTATTCAAAATTTCTGTTAAATTAAATCATTAGATGAACTTACAGTTGCTCGTTCGTGCATGGATATGGGAGATGCATGTCAAATGATTAGAATTCAAGGAAGGTTGGCAAAATTGAAAATAATTATGAAATTACCCAAAGAATGTGGAGATAAACTGCAGGCCATAAATTGCAGCGTAACAATATCCAGTTAAAATAGAACATAATAAATTACATAACATATAAACACTAAATATTGTAGTTGATACAGATTATGTGAATGCGAATTATTAATAATTACTTTTACTTAATTTAATTCACTGTTACTTTCTTTGCTCGGGGTATTTTAAATCGCGTCCATATATTATTAATAATATGTTGAAAAAATATTAAAAGTATGTACCAGTTAATCATATTTTCAAGAGTAGCGATTAGTATTTTAGAAATACAAAAACATTTCAAAACCGGATAAAATTATGAAAACTGTTTATGTCAAAATTGATTTATTTTATATTTTCATACTACAATAATAAATATGATGTTCTTGTTTTACAATTATACATACATCTATAGAATAATGAAGTTAATTATAAAATTTTACTTTTTCATCATAATTACATTCTATAATAATTTATACATCATCTAGTACACTTTGTACTATATGTACCTACTTCCATTGAAAAAAATTTGTTTGGTAAATATAAAATGTATTATACAAAATAAAGAGTAAACTAAATATTAGATGTTTACTTGTTATTTATAATAATTACTAGTAACTTTTTTCATTTAATACTCAACTAATCTTGGTGGTTTATTGTCTTCGACAATCCATGTCTCTCCATTCTTTCCTTGTTCCAAAATGATAATCAAGGCATTTCCCACGTTTTCAGAACTGAGAGAAAAATAAAATATTCATAAAGTTAGTAAATATTACATTTAATAAAGACTTATTTTAGTAATTAAACTCCAAATCAATTGAAACTATACTATATCAGTTTATTTCGTAGTCTTATGCATATTTATTGATATTATACTCAATTAATATTTGAAATTATTATAATATTATTATTAACCCATATTGGAATTTAAAAGTCATATTAGAATTTATTCATAAGCCGTAGCTGCTATATATGCTGTTGTTTTTTATGCGATGATTTTACATTGCAGGTACTTTCAGATATTTACAAACAATTCAATGAACATGGAGAAAGTCAAACACTTAGTTCAAGTACCTAATCAGATTTCTGTATTATTACAAAAGGGAATATATTATAGTTTTATGATATAATTTTAATTCTATAAGTGTATTTTATTTATTTTCCATGTATCCACAAAAGTTCACAAACAATATATATTCGTATATTATCGTCTATTTATTCGAAAAAATAATGGACCCCACTGGACAAATTCGTTGTGCATATTAATAATAGTTAATTAGTAAAATTAGTGCACAACTTGTGGAAATGTCTAGAAGAAAAGAGGTAGCAACTAATAGACTACGAATTTTCCATATAAAGATCACCCTTAGCTACCTCATAAACAAAAAGGAACCTCCAATTTGCCAAACTTGCGGAGTCATATTGAATATCAAACAAATATTAACCGAATGTTTAAACTACCAGCTCCACAGGAAAAAAGCCATTCTCTCTAAATATATTTCCACATCACTCAACAACTATCGAGAATCCATGAAGGAAATAATCAAATTCATCGTCCATCAAAATTGTTAAATAACATTTAAACAAAACAATACTCCAATGACCGATCCTGCCGAGGGTTATTTTGAGTATAAAAAATAAAATAGTTACTTTTTATAATTATTATTATTATTAACTTGTGTCACGGATGGTACAAATCTTTCTCGTTACCAACAAAGAAGACATCAAATTATACATTATGTTGATCTCTAAACTTCTTGACAAATCAACTCGTATATTTTTTAATAAATAAAAATGAATAGAAAATAATTGGGTCTTTTGAATATTAAATATGTATAACGTATAACAGTATACATGTACAACCAGTGTTGGGACTTATATAGATAAATTAATAACTACTTATAAAACTACTTATAAAATAATGAAAATTATTAAATTAATATTATATGGAAAACAATATTGTTAACTTGAAACATTTTTTTTTTGTATTCTGTATTCATCCTGATACGTACAAAGCAATTTTCATTTTTTTTTTTTTTTTTGTTAACATTTTAGTGATTTATTGTCATTAAATATTGTACAATATTTATAAATACTGCTTAATGGTACACTACATTACTACAATAAACATTAAACACCTAGGTATCTATTGATAATAATGATTATAATCAGGGACGTATTTAAGGGGTGGGCCTATGGGGCCCGTGTCCCCCCATTCACCGTATTTTATACTTTATTTATTATTGTAGGACCTCTTATTTTTCACGAACGGGCACACGGTTAAATACTGGAATATCAATATATCATGATAATATAATACCATCAATTAAACGGATTAGCATTGTATACACCCTGAATACACCTTAATATACACCCTAAAATAATTATAAAACCTGAAGAAGAAGTTGATGCATATGCTAATAAACACCCCAGACGTCTTCAGTTATTATAATTACAAAAATTATATTTAAAAATATGTTTTATTATAAATTTGTGTAATAAAAGTTTATGTTTCAATCAAACACTTGTATTTTGATTATTTTGGTTATGAATAATGACAGTTTTTTGAGATGGAAAATTTATAACTATGTATACTTTGAACTTTTTGTTTGTGCCCCCCACCCCCCTTAATATATTCCTTAATACGCCCCTGATTACAATTGAGACTTCATCAATATTATTAGAATATGAAATATTGACCAAAAAATAACATTTTTTGAAAATATCTTTTTTTTATCTAGATAAAAATGAAATTATCTTTTTTCTTTATCTAGATATTTTAATTTTTTTTATCTATTATCTTTATCTAGATGAATATGGACATAATATCTTTCATCTTTATCTAGATAAATTTTGCATTATCTATTCCCAACACTGCGTACAACAGCAACTAGCAAGTACAATAATCTGAATGGAAATAATGCGGCAACAATGTTGTACCCTCCCGGTTCTCGGTTCACACAGAAAAAAAATTATACAATAATCTAGATTCAAAATGTTTTCAAATCCTTAATTACATATCTTCTATAATTAGGAAAAATAATTTCAAGTTGATTGTTGATTAAAAATATCGATTTGATATTGAAATATTTTAATACATTTTTTTCGTACATGTTATAGTTTTTATATTATAAAATTACGCTTAATACGATGGTGTTTAGTAGTATTTGAATTTAAATGGGTTAATAATTAAATTGGCATTATAATGTTCAATACTCGATTTTCCTAATTCATTCATTCCCGCTGTTACTCTAAACACTCTGAACACTCCATACAAAAATTAATCGTAATGTGCCGGCATCGATGTGTAATGTATAATTAATGTTATTGGCTAAAATACATACAACATTTTAAGGTAAAAATTCTAGTGTCAAATTGTCATGACTACCGTTAACACAGTATGCATTTTACAGTAAAACGTGAAAATATAACACAACGTAATATTAAAAATTTACAAACACAACGAGATTGTATAAGATCGTATCCGACCAATACAATATTCGTATGGTAAATACGCGTAGAAAGCAGCAAAAAAGGACGATATATCGACGATGACGAGCGAGACTAACCAGAAGACCTCATCTGTCCCATTACCAGGTACCTACGTTGATCTTATTTAGTTGTTTGTTCCTACAATGAAGTTTTATCGATTGTTAAAAAAACATTTATTTCACTTTAGTCGTACATAATATACACCTATATCATAATTATTATACAAATAAAGACTCGAATAATTGATTGAACTATAGCACCAATTCGACAATTAAATTGCTTGATGGATCGTGTAACATTTATCATAATAATTATTATGAGAGTGCGTTATATCTATTTGTATGTTTGAATTAATAAAGATGGAATGATATTCGATTGGTTAATTCATAGTGATGACGAAAGTTAATGGGGCGATGAGAACTGTATAAGATTATTCAATCCTTTAAACATGTGGAAAATAATTTATTTTGGTATTTATTAAATGACTATATTTAAGAACGAAGTCAAAGATCTCAATTATATTCCTTTCCCGAATAAAAAAAAATCCAACAGATAATGGAAAAGTAGTTTTTCGGGACCTCATATAATTGATCAGTGATAATTTAAATATATACGAGTATACATTATAATTCGGATAACTTTGATGTTGGAATAAACTCAAATATAATCATAGGCGCATATGGGAAGGAGTGCAAGACGAAGCATTTATCTCCCTTATTAAAACAATATGAATTTGTATAATTTAATAATATTATTATTATTATTAGGATAGAGAATAATTATAAAAATACATAACTATCCCTTACATTCCTAAAATTTTACCTTTGAAAACCCAAGCTATTAGTTATATCTGTACTCAAATATTTGTTTGAGTGTTTGATAATTTCTTATATACATTTTTTTTAAAGATTAGATTTTTAAGTAAAACAAACAAATATTCATGCTATTAATAAATAATCAATTAGAGCATCTAGTTATGTATATATCAAAATAAATGGGTTGAGTATAGAATTGGCTTTATTTTTAGTTAAAAAAATCGTTATTTAACAATCTGTAATATTTTCACAATAAGTAAATTTGTTAATAAGATACAATTAATGTGAATGAACTTGCTGTTAGAACTGACTATAATTAATTTTTTAATAATGTATAAAAAATTAATTCTTCAATTTATTTCATAAAATTGACATACTTGATCTTTGGTTGATAAATTAGGTGATACAATTGTTTTAAGCCATTGTTGGATAGTCAATTACAACAAAACGGAGCAGGTTAGTTTAATTAATTTTATATTATACTAGCAAAAATAAATATTAAAATTGCAATAATAATAATAGCAAATTATTATTTTTCTTCAGCCAGTACAAATGAACCAAAATGACGATCAAGTGGCCAATATACACTTGTCTAGATGTTCGGCAGCAATAAACGACCATATTTTTGATAGCATAGGCCAGGTAAAAAGATCATATGAAAAACATTTAAAATACTTAAATATACTAAATTATTTTCTTTCTTTAGCAAAAATTACCATCTAAAAAACGAAAGAGAAATTTTGAAAACGATGAGGACAAAGAATTTCCGTGTGTAAAAAGAAGAAAGCTAATGTTTCAAAAATGTGCGAGAAATGATGATAACGAGGACGAAGAATTGCCATATTTGAAAAAAAAGTTAATATCCAGAAAGCGTAAGATAAATTCTAATGATGAGGTCGAAGAATCGCCAAACCCAAAAATAAGAAAACTAATATCTCGAAAACGTCAGAGAAATGATGATGACGAGGACGAAGAATTTCCGTGTCGGAAAAGAAAAAAGTTAATGTCCAGAAAGCATGAGAGAAATTATAATAATGAAATCAAAGAATCGCCAAACCCAAAAAGAAAGAAAATGAAATAATATTTGCATATATACAACAATTAATTGATGATTTATTATTTACTTTTTATTTATTATATTATTAATGAATTGTTTTCTTAAAATAAATTTTTGTTTGTTATCGTTGCCGACATTGTTTGTTCATCCGGTAACGTAGTTTGTTAATAAATATTAATTATCCTGTATGATAAATTGTTTTCTATATGTTGGTTTTTTACTGCACAATCGTCGAATATATACAACTTAAATTAATTTGTGGCTGTGGTTTATTAGTTGCAGTAGCATTTTACAATACCGTCAGTCGAAAACAAATCGATACCAAATTCCAATAATTAACTCTTTAACCTACTGTTAAAATATTGTTTATCTTTCGGCATTTTAATATTCAAACAGTGCACAAACTTAATAGTTTAAAAGTTGAATACGTGTCCAGAAAATATTTTAGTTTCCAAAGTGGGTCACAAGTCATAAAATATTCAAGACTAGCGCTTTACATAATTAAATAGTTATCCTAAAAATAAGATTTCTGTTATCATCATTCATCACTATAGAGGTTATAATCGACATGATCTGATATTTTATTTAAATATATAATGTTTTAAAATTATAGGTACATATTTAGTATTACTTAAGTTTTTTTTAAAAAAATCAAAAATGTAGTAGCTAAAAATTTGTTTAAGAATGACGGAGAAATGTTTGAAACATTTTGAATTTTTAAGTTATAGTATTCGACCAGTTAGATACTAAGTCGAATAATTGTTAGTAAGTATAGTACATCGGAATTCATGTTTTATACACTATGAATCATCATTAAAATTATTTGAAAATTAAATTTATTTAAAATTATTTTTTTTATTATTTTTTATAGAATTATATATTAATATTTCTCACAATTGCAGCATACTACAACCTAAATACGCCGTCGATAATATTAAACATTATCTCCGATGGACAAAAAAAAAACCTGCAGTACTTCAATGATCGCAAAATGAATACTGATATTATAGATAATATAAATAATATATACTATAAATACATAATACATTTAGATGGTATTCCAAAAATGCGTATAATAAAGATTTGAACAAAATAGCATCAGAAATATTTTCAAAACTTAACCACTAGATGGCATTGTAATAATAGCTACAAATCATGTAAAATGTTACAGTTTATTCGTCGTACAAAATCGTGTTATATTAAAACCACAAAAGTAAAATATAATATGTACTGGTACACAATACACACGCTAAAAATCCATTTGCTTAGTATTATTCTTGACGTCAAGTCAAATCATTAGGCATCAATTGAGGGCACTCGTTGAGAAGTACTAGTGAATTACAAGTTGTAATTCCACTGTAATTGAGTCCCTCGTGAATCTATTTAACCTAGCTAGTAGGGTATCAACGTAAAATATTTTACACAAATTAAACATACCCTTCCCTAGACTTTAATGCATACCACAATACACGTAGAAAAATGAAAGTTCATAATAATATGTTTACGTTCAATATAAAACATTTGATTAAAGACAGTGATACAAAAACTTGTCGACACTTTCATCAATCACGTTTTTCTATTAAAGAAATCAATAGAAAATTATTAATACCAATCGTAATAATCGTCCGATAAGTAGTAGAATAATTTTAATATTTTTAATAGCGTTTTTACAAATCGATTCAACTCTTCGGAAAAATTGAGTTACACATTTTATCGAATTTCTTCTTAAAACGTAATCTCTTAATAATATCATAATAAGCATCCTTAATTTTGTGAAATTAATAATAAATATACCCATGGTACCCAATGTTCTCGTCGACATTATTCGAGATTTTTCGTTTTGTGAATTAAAATAATTCATAATTCAAATCCACCAAAAATAATTATCGAAACAAAATAAAATTGTTCAAAGTTTACCATCGATTATAAATTATATTAGTATTTATAATAATCAACGGTTTTGCACACTTACTCCTGTAAAATCATTTGATTATTTGAACCGTGATTGTCTTCGACGTGTTCTACGCTGTCGTTCACCGATTCGATTTGATTTAATGTTTCCGGAAATTTAGTGCCCGTGAATCCGGGACACAACGTTATAAGTTTAACTCCATGAAGACCGAACTGACGCTTGCCCTTTATAAACATAACGTAACTCATTAGAAATGAATAAAATCGCTATTCGTTGGTTGGAAATTAAATTCCTTGTGAGCACTCACCCCGAGTCTTTTTGTAAAGTCCGTTATATATTTTTTCGTTGATTTGTACAAGGGTGTATTAGAAAAACAGCCACCGAAAACCAAAAAAGAAGTCGTCTGTATGACCGTCCCACCAATGCCTCCGTTTGGAATCCCCATGTACTTGATCGCCAGTAGAGTGCCTCTTACAACTCCGCCCTAATAAAACACATTAAGTATAAATCATTGAATACATACCCTTAAACGTTCCACACATCTCGTTGTAAATACAACTTCGACGTTTTCGCATCATGTGATACAAAATTAAGTACGAACGACGAGTTTTAGAAGTTATCGATATGTAATTAAAAATCTGCATTAACAATGGATTAAAAGTTATAGCACATTGAAAGAGTAACTAAGTTAATATTTTTAAATTTTATAAGTATCAATGTTAGAAGAAATTATTGGAAACTTGAATAAATAATAACTGTCGTAGTCACGTCAGTGGTTATAGTCAATAATGCATACATTTATATGCGCATTGTTATAAGTAGGTACGGTTCGTAAAAATGGTCAGCCCAAAAAATCATGGTAACCAAAAAGTAAGAAAACTTATTTTATAATACATATATGTGTGTATGTATCAGTGGTATCCTTACTTTTTTATATGGAGGAGGGGGCGAATCTCATACTTGTATTTGCATTTATTTTGTGTGTATGTATATATATGTATTATTTTTCTACCGTGATATAAATAATAAATAACTACAATTTTTTTAAAAAAAAGGCCATGAAGTGAAGAGCCTGCCCCATTAACCCTTCCTGAGGACGTCCCTGGTATATATTAATATAATATGTAGCAGCTTACGTAGTTTATATTGACTACACTGGACCATCGTACAATTGACTCGTCGAAGACTCCAGCGTTGTTAATGACGATATCAAGTCGACCAAAATACTTCATACAGGTTTTAAAAACATCTAAAATCATATTTTACTCAAATAATTAGTTTTTCACAATTTTTAATAAATAATTATCAAAATATTTTATCGAAAGAAAAGGTTATATCGATAAATCAAAATAAATTAAAAGTTTAAAAGTTTCTTCTGTATTCAATGTCAGTCTTAACAAATATAATAATTATATTATATAGTTAATCCATTAAATACATTTTCAGTCAGTTGATCAACACTTTTTTGTAATATTTTAATTTATACTGACAAGGAATTTGGAAAATATATTGCTAAACGCTTAAATCATACATTTTAATAATAATATGTATTAAACAATTATTTAAAAAATGTAACTTATATAAGTATATATATATATTATACATAATATGTATATAGTATATATACTTTATATAATTAAATATATTATATTTAATTATAAATGTACTAGATGATAAAAATATGATTTACAACTTTCTCAACCGATAACATAGTAATTTGAAACTTTCGATTTCTTACTTTCAAATTCTTCTTCGTTGGTCACATCACATTTTATTGAAAGCACATTTATTTTTTGGAACTCTTTTTCAAACTCACTGACTATAGCATGGCATTTTTCGACGCATTCATCGCAAAGTAATACCTGAAGATCACTTTTGAGTTTCTAATACTTACAACCGCAATGAACAAGCACATTATTAAAGTATGTTACATTTATTTTACCTTGACTCTGTTTTTAAGTAAATTTTTGACGTAAGCTTGTCCGATTTCTGATGCTGCTCCAGTCACTAAAGCCACTTGATTTTCGAGGCCCATATTTTTGTTTAAAAAAATCGTAATCAATTGTCTTCGATTGGAAAAATAACAAAAAACATTTTTTTAACGCAATTAGTATTATTATAAACTTTTTATTACAAACAATTGAGCGATAACGATGATTAATAGTTTAAATTTCTAAGTTACACAGCCTACATGACGACACAATACCATTCAACGTTGCAACGTTTACTAACACTATATTTCTATGGTACTAGTGTTACAGCGTGGAAAATTAGATCAAAGGTTGTAGTGATAAATTGTCAGTTACACAAAACAGTATACCTATATTTATTCACGTGTGCAGATAAAAAGCATCTTATCCAACCAGATAAACGTTATCTATTTATCAATACGACGTATGGGTACACCATAAAGATAATAATAATAAGAAATATTGAAAAATATTTTAGCGTAATATTACAGTCGTTTTGTATTCGTCAATAATTGTACAATATGCTTATACATATAAAAATTTAACTGACTTTAGCGATTGACGATTATTGAAAACGTTAACATAATTATTACATATATAAATATATATATTGATAATTGTAAGTGTATATTATTTTAATACATAAAACAAGACGATCTTTTGAATATAAAAAATCATATCTGAGAATTCCGCTATTGCCTAGTATAAGTAAACAGCAATAGGTGGGTACACCGCATAACATGACAACATCTATGTATATTGGTATATTATAGTATAGGTACATTGCATTACAGTATCGATGTCGCCTCAAGAACGTGATCGAATCAAATGTATCTGTACAACAAATAAAACAAAACACATAAAGATGCGTTTATGTTAACTACGATTATGTTAAAAACACGTCTTAATAATATAATGGCAGGTAATATTGAATACGAACTGTTACTAAATAATCATTATACGAAATTATAATATGTGTTCACGTTGTACCTGTAATACGTTTAAAAAAAGTATGCAACACGTTAAAAACCACTGCTTGACTTGCTGTATGATAATTAGGTTAGATACGTCTTAAAAGTCATACGAATTTTCCAAACTTCTCGAATAATAACTAAACATAACTAATGCATAGGTATACACTTTGCAGGCAATAGTTTCAAATTTTCCCATCGTAGGCGGAGAGCAGATAATTACCAAAAACGTGATTATTTTATTATCTATTATTATTATTATTATTATTTTTATTTTACAGCATTATTAGTAGTCATTATTAACGGATTGGTCTGGCGGGATACCGAGGTAAAATTCCCAACGGACTGGTCGGTTACTGCGGTGATATTTAAGTGATAATTCGATAAATGTTCAAATCATTATTTAAAAATGTATATCTATACACATATGCTTAGTATTACGATTATCGCCGTGGTCAGTCGAAAAATAAGAGTGATGTTTGTGTATTCGCACAAGGTAAATTGTTTTTGTTTACAATTTTAAAACAGGTTGGTTTATAAAAAGAAAAATGCAACGATCCAACCACGATGACACGATGTCGATATAATATTATTTAAATGCATTATATAATTATGTATACGTGTGAAATTGTAACAGAGCGGTTCCAGATGACAACCTAGGTTAATAGTATTTGTACTTGAAAAAAAAAATTACATCATTTAATACTAATTGTGAATAACATCGTATTTCATTCAAAGTCATAATCATCATGCACAATAACCTTTGCCTATTATTATTTATATTTTATTATGGTTGATGCAGGTTTGCATTTAAAAGCGCACGATACATTCCATTGCAGCTCAGTTCTTTCATTAAATCGTTTTTTCCGAACGGAGTTTTGTGCCCAAGAATAATAAATATAAATAATTTCAAGATATGAGGTCATTGATTTTTCGAAACGCTGATAACATTAACCTAATCGAGATTATTTAACAGGATATATTTATTCAACGATTAATTCGGTTATGGCGACTGGATTAGTTCACAGTCAAGAGGTTTATTTATTTGATTAGTATTTGCTCAAACACCACAACGGTTTGAATTTTCGCTCCATATCATGTCGTACATTGTGCCATGAACGTCTCGAACTTTCGAGAATTTTCATTACACTCCAACCCTTTACATCTCGGAGCAGTCATGATGACCGGTCTACAACTCGGCCTTTGCGGTTTCTGTCTTTTACGTGCACTCGCACGCGTTACACTTCCGTCTCCGCGTATTCTTCTCGCGTTGGTCGCCACGCGGAATTTGTGTGCCGTTTGAGGTTTTCGCCGACTCACGGTGGAAGGAATCAATCTTTTAGCTGGACAAAAATAGAAAATTTTGGTATCGTAATCAATGACTATAAACATAAATATTTATTGCTACTTATCTTTTGAAGACATATTTATTGCAATATGCAATAATAATCAACTATTGAGTCGATAAATGTAGGTATGATTAATTAAGATTAGTGAATGGAATGCCATCACATGATGTGAACGTATACTATTCATTTTAGTTTTTCGTTATTTTATATGAATAAGAAAAATTTTACTTTTTATAAATTAAAAATAAATCAACATATAGTAACAAGTAAGTTTGTTAATTTATAATTATACTATAAATTAAAATATGCATACATATACAATAAAATTAAAGAAACTTTGCTTATTTCCATAAAATTGTGTAGAACAATTCTTGGGGGCTTCTTCGAGGTTGTCCTTAATATTTCTTTGATTTATAATCATGTTTTTTTTATAATACCTACTGTATAAAAAATTTGCTCTTACCCCTTTCTGAGTTACATTTAAATTACAATAATTTTTTTGATTATTGTAGATAAAACTGACATTGAAAAAAAAGTTAACCAAGTTAACACTTTAACAGGATCTTCGATCTAAGTTTGTTATATTTGTAAAAGTAACCCTAAAAATATGAAAAATTTAGACCAAATACATACATTTCAAATAAATGAAGCTAATTTTAAGTACGATTTATCCACATTTACATGCTTGGATCAAATTTTTAGAATGCATTTTGCATATTGCATATACATTAAAATCGGCTCCAACTACAAAAAGGACAACTGTTGAACAGAAAGTTTTAATTTCGGAAAAAAAGAAAGAAATACAATCTCGTCTATGGAAAGAATTGGGCTTGAAAGTTGACAGAGTGGTTCAGGGTATGGGTACAACTAATACGGGAAATGTTGCTCGAAAATTTTTTAAAAATCCAGAAAAAGTTTCTAAAATTACAGGAGTTGATGGTCGTTTGATTCATTAATTTTTTATAATATTAACAGTAATTTCTAGTGGTCACAAAATAAATAATGAACGATTTGACGAGTATACAAAAGAAACCGCTAAACTTTATGTTGAGTTATATAATTCGTACCGTATGCCGCCAAGCGTACATACAATTTTGATACATGGTTCTTTAGAAATCAAATATGCTTTAGTTCCTATTGGAAAGTTATCCAAGGAAGCGCAAGAGCCGCAGAACAAAGACTATATTTCGAGAACACCATTCGAAAAAATCGTCACGCGTTAACACAAACATAGATTTGTTTAACTTTCTTTTGATAACATCTGATCCAATAATAACTGGATTAAGATCTCAGAGTAAAGTATCATCAACTGAATTATTTCCAGATGCAAAATAATTATTGGATATTGAAAACTCTGAAAATAATGAGTCTAATGAAAAAAAAAGTGAAATTAGTAACCATTCGTCTTAATTTTAATATTCATTAGTTATAACTTATTATAGTTCATATATTATACAATACTTTTTTTTAAATTTAAATTTTAATTTAAAAAATGTATTTTTTATTGTATTCTAAAAAAATATAAATTAAATAGACTAAATATCATTATTTTCTATTTTTGTCCGGCTAAAAGTTTGATTCCTCCCATTGTGCAGCTGTCGACCATATTTTCCTGGGACGGATCGTCATCGTCATCGTGGTGTAGCTGTTTGGTGTTGCACCAATGTTCGCAAATGTCAGGTTGACCATCCTGTGGCTGGTGATATCTTTTGTTTTTTGTATTTTATTTATTACTAGCTGACCCGGCAATGCTTCGCTATTGCAAGATTTCTCAAATATTGATTTGCTATTATTTTTTGGATGTTAAATAATTATTTTTATTTTAGACCACTTTTAGTCACGTCTCAGTGGTAATGTAGAAATATAAATTTAGCGTTGCCACCGAGGATTTTTTATAATGTTGAAAAAAAATTATATCGCTTGTGTCAATAGAAAAAATTGATGTTTATTGCAAATTTTTTATATTTAATAGATTTAATGTACGATGCGCTAAAATTAGAGTTCGTGTGTGTACATTTTGTAGGTATAACTATGGATGGAACAAAAGATATGAATTATGCCAGTATTTTGATAATTTAAAGACTTAAAAAATTTCTTTGTAAACGACGTTATCATCTTTTTCTGGATCGAGGGCAAAAATATACAAATCAAATTTGGATGTCACACGTGACAGGGCGACGTATAGTTGACCGTGAGAAAAACATTGAACGCTTAGGTCAATTTCAACAACACTAAGTGTTTGTCCTTGTGCTTTATTTAAAGTCATTGCAAATGCTAATTTAACGGGAAATTGAATATGTTTAAACTTAAAAGGTAAATCTGAGGGTATAATTGGTATTCTTGGTATTAAAACAGTTTTTCCATTACCACAGCCCGTTAAGGTTATGCACTCGAGCAACTTCTCAATTTTTTGATTTGACTCAAATTTTTCATTAAAATAATAGGTGCCCCTATTTTTAAAATCAGTGTAAGTGGTGGGATTTCAGAAGGCATTAAAGAATTAAGAAATTCAGTTTGGAAATAGACTGCATCCTCTTTTTCTAAAATTACATCAACTGAATAGTACATTTGTGATTGTGCGTCAAATATAGATAGAATTTAATTTGTAATTTAATCAATCATTTAAATCAAATCATTTAATTTGTCGACTTGCTGTTGGTGACAAAATAGCCCTTTCTTGAAACCATTTCAATGATTTAGATGATATATTTTGAATGTTCGGGTACACGTTTTGAATCAATTTTGTTATAGTGGGTACTGAATTACAGAAACTTTTTAATATTTATTTTATCATTCGTTGCTTGAAATTCTCCTTTGCCTATTAAAAGTAAATCTTTGACAAAATTTATATTATCTTGATTTGTACATAGCACTCTTATATTAGTTTTAAGTTCTAATATTTTTATATAAGGCCATAAGTAGGATCTTTTCAAAGACGCGTTGACTTCATCAGCTCT